ATGGCGATTTCAAAAGAGGTACATCTCGCAGAATTTATGTGGCTTTCCCTCCATAAGATATGAAGGGGTTTAATTGATGGAGTGATTAATTTCATCCAATGATAATTGATTGTCCTTCCTATTGGCTTAGACACTTCGGCCGATCACCGAAGTTTCGGCTGATCACCGAGAGCTCACGTTAGCCTGAACGACCACATGAATATGGTCACCAATCGAACTAACGAAGACGGTTCCTGGCGCGCGTTGGACTCACGTGCTTCTACCGATTATGTCAACATGGGTCCCATCGACGAATGGCGACCCCACGTCAAATAATTTATGAAACTGACGATATGGAAGTTGCAAAAGATTAATCTCCGTCTGCGTTGACCACCATCATACCAGAAATCGCTGATCAAACTCTTGCGTTACGGTGCTGGACCTTGATGCACGAATATGAGTTTTCGAATATCGCACACGAAACTGCCGATCAACTATCGACCTTGAGTACCAGGCATGTCGAATAAGACAACAGGCTTGGTGAACTGGCACGTCGTATTTTCATCAGTAGGGATGTCGGACTCCATTCGCCTCATTACCAAGAGGATACGCTTCATCACCGGCGGTCTGCACTCGCCTCGCACGGAATTCGCAGCAAATATATCGGAACTGAAACGGGACATGCTTCAACGTAGGCAGCAATTTCCCGAAGCAACAAACCTGATTTCGTTATTACTCAGAAACATCTAAAACTGCGTGACCTCGAAACGCCCGGCGATCCTTTCGAGCTGCTGAGACCTAGCTAAAAAAGACCCTCATTACCATGCAATCAATGGTGTACCATAGCACAAATGTCAATTCGTCAGATACCTTGGCATTGTTCAATGTGAATGCAATTTGTCCGCTATAGAAGATGCGCTATTACAGTTGGAATGTCACCTTGGAGAGGAACCTCATTTGGGAGACATTGTCAATTCTCAAGTACAATTAGGGTCGACTGCTGAATTTTCATTCAACATAAAATCGTCGAACAATATTGCATTTCGAAGACCAATACAAACTTCAAGACGTTCGAGATAAACTAGTTTCTTTTATCAAGTCACAACAATGGGACAGTTATTATGAAGCAGAGTAGTACTCCTTATTGGCTATAGGTAGGTAACTTGTCCATTTTCAATGTCGAAATCGACGAATGCAGATACTTTGGAACACTTGAACTCCCGTTTATCGGACGAGTGTCAACTTGCGAGGTTGATGATTTCCACAAAAAAATTTCCCACAATAGTAATGAAAAAATCTGCGTACTATTCCCTCTGCCCCACAAAGGTTGCGTGAGTTTGAGGAGGGTGTACATGGCTTGCAATTAAAATTTAGAAATGAAATAAACTTGTGTGTCGCCCTCCCCAAGTCGAAATCGACCCGCTGATTGGATCGTTGCAAAGAGCGCGTCAAGAGCGTTCCATGTGTGCAAGTATGAGGAAGAATCTCATAAATGCGGGTTACTTTCGCCGCGTTAAAGCCAGAACACAGTGTATTATACAAAACATACATCTTCAATGATACGCATTCGAAAATGGCACCAAGAAGGCGCGACCTGACGAACGAGGAGCTCGAAGCCATCCTTCGGGAGATGCTGATGCAAAGCTACAACGGTTTCCTTGCTCGATATGCCTATTGGGACGACATAGATATTGGCATCATGGCATGCAACGTATCTACGATACGCAGAATTCTTACAATGGCCAACCAAGGCATCTATCATGGCAACATAAAGATGTCTGTAACCAACAAAACGAAAGACAGGTAAATGGCCTTCACAAATTAAAGCAATGCTACTGCTACCACTTGAACGACACTTCGGCCAATCTCTGAAAACAATGGCAAGAATACGAAGTTGGTAAGCTCGGTGGGAGGGTTACATCAGGTTTGCATTTTTCCGAAGTTTGATTGGTTCTGACACAAGTAAATGTTCCAACTTGATTAGACAGCCGTATCGTTATATCGTTATATTTTTTAAAATTCAAACTAGGATATAATGTCTTGGAGTGATTGTATTTTTGTTCGAGGAGTACGACATTTTCCTGATTCAAGGATTCATTGTGGGACGGATGGAGTACAATATATTTTCATCGAGAATTATGTGACTGTGGGGCTCCATATAAATTTCAATATTTCTTGCCTGCAGTATACTTTAGGCAAGTCTAATCGATGGCACAACTTTTTCGGATTAGAGTGGTATCTTATCCTGTGCAATTGGCCATATTCCGGAGGTATGGTCGACTGCCAAGTGCAAGCATATATCCGTCGTTCCCTGTAGACTGGCCCATTCGGCGTGGTGATTTGGATACAGTCAACTTGGAAAAAAACTCGCAGCGCGAGTACTATATTGAAGTTTGACTACATCATAGGCACCCATGATCGCAAGCGGTGAAATATTCATGGACGACGGTACCCGGCTAATGCTGACGTGAGTCCATTGATCGGTCAATAGTATGTATAAAATATGCATTTGTACCTCGACCAGTACGTAGTTAAACGTTGTGCTGATTGAAATGACCATTAAATCAAGTACGGGCAGTTCGAGGACACTTCTGCGCCACTCTACGTGGTGATTTGGGTAAGCCAGCGAAAGTTACCTTGTCGTAGCACTTTGAGTGCGAGGGGTGAAGGATTAGCAAACCCATTTCGTGATGCAGTGCAAAATAAAAACCGTGTAAAGTTCATACATTCACTCATACATGCGAATTGAAAATTATGGTTGTATAGTCCAACTGGATAATTCGAGGAATTGACTTCTCAAATGACTTCAAGAAAACCACCTTGATGGACTCCCGGGCCTTGATAGTTCATTCGACCCTTTTTTCATTACGATCGCAGGTATAATAAATGTCTCCAGGCGCCACAAGGCATGGAGGAGCTGAGCCTCTCATGAACTGCGTTAGCGGGAAGACAATATCCAAGTTCAATATAATCACATAGGAACTGTGTCTAATCCAGTCAGAGGCCGCTGTGTACGCTGATGAACGTGTGGCCAATCATGGGCTAAGACACTATTTTGCTTGACCCCCAGGGGGTGATGCCAACGGGCGAGGCTGCACATTTATGAACATTTGGATGGTACAGCACCAGCCTGTTGACTCTAGCATGAGCTAGGACAGTTCGAACTAGAGTCATGGTGGAAGTGATGGGTGTGTACCGCTTGCCAACATCCATCCATCCGTTCTACAATCGACCCCGCAGAGGCTGCCATCGCTAGTCGTCGTAGCGTTTCGCCATTCCGACATTTGCCTCGTCAAACCTACTACGCAACATGGTAAAACTCGCCGTCGTTGCCGCCATTGCCGCCACCACGGTCACCGCCAAAATTGCCTCCAGCGTCCACCGCCTCTTGGAGGTCGCCGATTCCGTCGACGTCGTGGTCGAGTTCAAGGACGGCAACACCCGCGCCCTTCGTAGCGCCAAGTTGGAACTCAACTCGATCCAGGAACGCGGCCCCCGCATCGCCCACCTGCGCTCGCTCTTGGTCAAGACGATGGAATCATCGCAGAAAGAGGCGCTCGAGGTCTTGGCGTCGCAGCCCGAGGCGTTCTCAGTGCGAACCAAGCAGTTCCACATCAGCAACACGCTCTTTCTCTACGGCGCCAACCGCAACGTGTTGGACAAACTCGCCAAGCTTGACACGGTGGCTGTTATCCGGTCTCCAGTTGCCGCGCACTTGCCCGTGTCCGAGACCGATGACGTGGTTGTGGACTTGCCCGTCGTCTTGGACAACACGACTGAGGCGACCGTGCAGGCCATCGAGTGGGGCGTCAACCGCATCGGCGCGCCGACCGTGTGGGCGTCCGGCAACCGCGGCCAAGGTGTCGTCGTTGGCTTTTTAGACACCGGGGTCGTCGCGACCCATGAAGCTCTCAAGGGCAACTACCGATCCACGCACGGTTGGTTCGACCCCATCCACAAGTCGGCCACCCCGTTCGACAGTACCGGCCACGGCACGCACGTCCTCGGAACGGCAGTTGGTGCGAACGGGATCGGGGTCGCGCCGGACGCCCAATGGATCGCTTGCCGCGGGTGTAATACGGATGCGTGTCCCGAGGATGCAAAGACGGCGTGCGCGCAGTTCTTACTCTGCCCCACGGACGCCGATGGCTCCAACCCCAAGTGCGAGTTGGCGCCCCATGTGATCAACAACAGTTGGGGTGACGTCACGAGATCAAACTCTTACCAAGCCAGCGTGAATGCGTGGCGCGCCGCTGGCATCATCCCGGTCTTTGCCATCGGGAACTTTGGACCCAATTGTGGGACAGTCACCTCGCCTGGCGACTTCAAGAACGTGATCGGGGTCGGGGCCGTCGGGTGGGACGACAAACTGACGACGGCTAGCAGTCGCGGGGCGAGTCAAGATGGCACGCGCAAGCCCGACGTGACGGCTCCTGGCCTTAATGTCCGGTCCACGTGGCACGTAGGTAACCCGGCGTACAAGACCATCTCGGGCACGTCTACGGCAGCTCCTCACGTCACGGGGACCATCGCGCTCTACTTGAGCAAACACAAGGGCGCGACGTACGACGATGTGTACAGCGCCATCACCTACATGTCCGTCGATACGAGTGGGTTGACGCCCGAGAGGAAAAACTGCGGAGGCCTCTTGGACACTGGGTACCCTAACAACAGCTACGGCTGGGGTCGCATCAACGCAGCGCGAGCGCTTGGTGTCGCCAACAACAGCCCGTCCAACCACTCGTAGCCGAGTTCACCGCACCGTCAACAACGAGGGTGAGATTGCTGTGCAGGAACAAAACCTCGCTGAGCTCTGCGGCAACTTTGGGGTCGTCATCACGTCACGAATACATGTTTGGGTTACAATGGTCGTCGTTGGAGCCTCCAGTGCTGCAACTTGCCGAAGATCTTTTGGCCCCTTGACGACGTCCTCGATTCACACACACACTTGTGTCAGTGGACGTGCTCTCCCTTTCTCGCCTTCGAGTAGTAGCTCCGACGCAAGCCCTACCTTACATAATTCACTGTGGAGAGCACCACTATAGACCTTGGCGATGATTCCTTTGTCCTCTTGGACTTTCGATCGAAACCTGCGTCAAAACATCGTTGTCTAGGCTGTTGACCACTCTGGTAGACGACATCTTGTCTGCTACTCCAGTACTCAAGCGAGCGGGCCATCACGTCGGCAATCCTCGGCCGCGCTTGCGGCACCGTTTGCCCCTGGTACAGTCCCACGTCACTGTTTGTCACCAGTAGCTCGCTCGTTATTTCCGTCGACGACTTAAAGCACGTGGGGAGAGATCCTTTGTCTAAGATTTATAACTCCTACAAATGACGGCGGTAATGCGGGATGTCCAGTGTCTTTTGTATGACAGCGAGGCCCATCCCGTCCGTGCGCAAAGATTGCTCAATCTGCATTCGCACGGCTGTCGTGCATTCAACACCCAAACCCTACGAAGAGCCGAAGCAGGAGCTGTGCTCGGATTCTTGGACATGTATGGATAACGCTGCAAATGATCCACGCGACGGTGAATGCGCGCGGCGCGTAAGTGACGCAGATGACGATGCGCCTGCGGACGGGGGGGGGCGTCGGGGCGAAGCTGAGCTCGGCGTTCCGGTCGGTGGTGCAGCAGAACGACGTGCTGCGGTCGACGTTTGTGACGACGGCGCGCGCGGCATCTTCCAAGTGATTCGTGAGGACGCGGCAGACGTGGAGGTGGCGGAGGTGCGCGTGTCGAGGCTCGACGCGTTCTTGGCGCTAGACTACGCTCGCGGGCTCGCCGTGTTGACGATCCACCACGCGCTGTACGACAGGTGGTCCTTGTCGATGCTGATGGGCGACCTGATGGACGCGTACAGCGGCGTGGCCGTGCCGACCGAGTTTCTGCAACGTGGTGGACTACATCAAGGCGCAGGACGCGGCAGCGACGGAAGCGTACTGGC